GTTTGAAGACATTGAAGAGTTACAAAGCAGGTAGGACTTGATAGCCTATGATTCTTGAGAGAAGTTAAACACAAGGTGAGCTTCACATTATTCTGGCTTTTTCCCTGAGAGTATACACCAAATTGTGGTACCAAGGACTAGAGTTCGAGCAGAATGTGGTATTCTTAGTATACAGAGAAGACAAGAGGTCAGAGTACAAAGTTGCCAAAATGGCTGAACTATAGTGGAAAATCCCTAAGAGGAAGGAACTGCAAATAAGGAACCTCAAAACCTTTATATAAATTCCCTTTAAGTTGTTGGCTGATTCTTAAATGATGCAGGCAAAGAGCAAGACTCCAAGAAACCCAGCAGAAAACAGTGACAGAGATTATAAAGAATGAAGCAGAGGTTTCAGTAGCCATACAGTTTGGGAGTCAAAAATACGAATTTAAGTCCTGCCAAGAGAGAGGGATCTTAGTAAATATCCCAGGTTTCCAGTTGAGACCCCAAAAAGGGCCACAGCCTGAGTCAGAACCACATTCTAGGCATAAGGTCTACATCCTAATAGTAAGGACAAAACCAGAGTAGTCTAACAGAGCCTAAAACGAAGCCTCCATAGGTACAAGGTGACCTGCTGGTCATGATCACTAATAACTAAACTATGTCCATGCTAGGCTAATAAAAAACCTCAGAAATCATTCACATTCTTTTCCTCCATGCTTCCTTTATTCTATTGGCTAGATGTTGGTACTCAAACTTTAAATGAAAGCCGTGTATTGAAGATGATAGAGCTCAGGTCCCTAAATGTAAAGCAGAGCTTCCCACCTATCCTACTGAATGGGCATTTAATAATAAGTAATCTTGTGTAGGTGCTATAGAGTCTTAAGGATTTTAGTTGTTTCAGTGGCTAGAGTATCTTAATATACCTAATATATATCTAATATAACCTCTCTATCCCCTTATTTAAATGTATGGCATAGTTTTTATTATATCTGTTTTTTAGTTGAAGAAAATAAGGTTCAAGACAATTAAATGACCAACCTAAATAAAGGTCATTCAGTTCATAAATGACAAGGCTAAGATTAGATTTTCTATTTCTTCTTGAGTCAGTTTTTCTGGTTTGTGTCTTTCTAGACATTTGTCCATTTTTGTCAAGGTTTTCTAACCTGTTAGCATACAAATGTTCTTAGTTTTCCCTTATAATTTTTTTTAAATTTCTGTAAGGCTAGTAGTAATGTCTCCTTTCATTCCTGGTTTTAGTAATTTGAGTATTCTCTCTTTTTTCCTTGTTCAGTCTAGCTAAAGGTTTGTCAATTTTGTTGATCTTTTTGAAGAAGCAACTTTTGGTTTTGTTGAAAACCAGACATTTAAAAAAACATAATGTAGAAACTCTGGTAATCAGATTCTTCTTCCTCCCTGGGGTTTTTTGTTGTTGCTGTTTGTTATAGTTACTTTTTATTTGTTCAGTGACTTTTCTGAACTACCTGCATAAAGTCTGTATTCTTTGTTGTGTGTGGCCATGAAAGATTCTGCTTGGTTAGCTTAGTGCTCAGCTTATGATTAGACAGATTTCCTTAAATGTCTGGACCCATTATGTCTTCCAGTGTTTATTGAAGGTCTGTGTGTTGGGCCATGGTATCAACACTAAGCCAGGCATCGCCAACTCTCTCTTAGCCTTCATTTCTGGCTTTTACAGAGCCTCAAGGTCAGCCTATGCTGAATGCTTCTGGCCTCCTTGGGTTTTTCCTGATCTTATGTACAGTTTAACACACGCCTGGGTATGTAGGGGGGTCTCTAATGTGTGTGGGTTTCTAGATTCCTGTGAATATGTTGGAGTTTTTCAAAGCTCCTACAGACATTCTCCAACTTTTCCAAGCTTTTTGGTTAATCTATTGTTTGTCCCAACTGTTTCCACTGCCTAAAGTGACTGGAAAGTTAATCGATTCCCTCTCACTCATTGTTTTTGACAAATGCTTCTGGGGTAAAGGCTTTTTGCACTGGTTTGGCTCTGAATCAAATCAAATAAAGACAGCCTTGCAAGTGAGATCTTCTAGGGAACCACCAGTTAGGTGAAATTATTCTCTTAGAGTTAGGTTTTGAAGGCACTCCAATCTCATTCAGCCTCATTAGATGGCTGCCAGGCTGCTGGTTTTCACCATGATTGTGGGCTACTGTTTTTCAAGGCAACAGCCAAGCTGGAGCTGAAGGGATTGGGTTAAAACAAGTCAAAACATCACAAAAGTTTGCTGTTCTTTCTGAGAGATTCAGCTGTTTTCTTGAATAAATGCTTTCTGAATTGCTGCAAGCCTTTGGTTAATATCCAGAATTTGGAACAAGTTTATTGTGACAATTTTGCCAGTTTTCTCACTGCTTTAGTGGAGAAAAGAATTTTCAGAGGTCCTTATGCCTGCATTCTGCTGATGTCACTTAAAGACTATATAATTAAAACTCAGGCCCTCTCACTCCTTGATCAGTCAATCCTCTTTCTATGATATCTGTGGGCATCAAACTTTACATGCATCAAAATCACCCAGAAGGCTCACTAAGCTACAGATTGCTTACAGTTTCCAATTCAGGACCTAACTGAGAATATGCATTTTTAAAAAGTTCCCAGGTAATACTGATGCTGTTGGTCTAGGGATCACTCTTTAAGAACCACTCTTTTACACCATACCTTCAACCCATTGCCTTAGGGAGTGCTTCTTAACTCTGGAATCAATAGTAATTATATGTATAAGCCAATAATACATATTATCCTCTCTATATATACATAAACATAAGTTAATATGTATTTAGTACTTACAACATGGTAGGTATGATATGCTTTACCTTTATTAGGTTTTTAAATCTACTCAATGACTCATGAGTAGACATTATTACTTTTCCCATATTTAAATTGGAAATTGAGGCCAGAGAGGTAAATAGATTGCCCAGAGGCATACAGCTATAAATGCAGGAATTATTATAAGAATATGGTCTGTCTGATTCTAGAATACAGGCTTTAGGCCTCCACAGTGTTTCCCAAAGAGTAACAGGTCACTTCTGATGCCTTGGATGACTTCAGTTGGGGCATGCATGATTAAAAACAGTGACTCACATAGTGAGAAAGTGATTCCTATTTTAGCTCTATTTTTCTATCCTTTGATTACATCATGATAAAAATGCCATTTGCATGCTTGATCTTTAATGTGTTTAATGCTTGGTAACCTCCCCTTTTAACAGGCTCAGAGTTTAGGCTCAGAGACGTTGGTAGGCAATAGTTTGTAGCTATTATTTTAAAAATTGTTTTGTCTACTTTTCTTACCATTACTTTCAACCTAGGATAGATGATGGAGATTTTCCATCATAGTCTTTTTATAAAGTTTCCCTCTTAAAGAAATTGAAGAAAAAATACCTTTATTTAAAGAAAATAATAAATAATACTGTTAGTATTATACACACACAGGTATGGTATGAAAAGATTGAAATTTGAGAAACCCTGCCCTAACAAACATGTTAGTATATCCAATTGGATCAATATGCAACATCCCAAAGGGAGATTAGGGGAGTCTGATTAAAGTACGAATTATCTTTCAAAGAGGGAGAGACTTGGATGGAAAAGAGCCACAGCTTCTAGAGCAACATGTGTAAGGTAGAGAAACATCAAGTGAGAAACGGTTTCTTGGTGAGAAATGTACTACAAGGGTGGGCTGAAACTTAGATTCGATTTCACAAAATGTCTATAGCAAATTCTCGTAACTACATTTCCCATAGTAAATTTTGAATAATTTGCTTTAGTCAAAAGGAAAAAAAGGGTCTCGGTTCACTAGCAGATTTTGCAGTTGCCAGGGACAGCACAAGAAGTGGGGCGCTTAATTCTTGGGGGTGGGACGCGATAAATATATCCTGGGCACTGGGCGTGTAAATGGAAGGAGTTGAGGGGGTTGGGGAATAAGGTGGGAGGAGAGCAGGACTGTAATCAGAGAAGCAGACATGTTCGGGATGGGGGGAAAAAAAAGGACATGTGGGGGACGAAGAAACAATTTAGCATCACTGACATGATTAAACTGTTAACCCGTGTTTAAATTAAGCAAGATGTCCAAGGACTATAGCTGTTGTTATTTATTTTGGTTGCATGTGATGGGAGCTGTTACTTCTTGGCTTGACAGCCGACTAGCCTCTAGATGCAAACTGGAAGGTTCTGGTCAGCCCAGGGCTATAGAGAGGAAACGCAGGCATCCCCTATCCCCCGCCCCAAGAGAATCTGAAATGAGGATGCAAGGGTCTCACTGCAGGGAGGGAGGGGAAAAGTCACTAGATAGTGCGCAGAGTCAGGGTGGGCAAACGTGCCCTTCTATTTTTTCTTGTCCCACCCATATCTGAACTGCAGCGGATTGAGCTTTATGCCAGGAGACCTTAACCTTGTTAGCCAGGTTTCCAGTCGAGTTAGGATTGATTTTAATTCCTCCATTTTGGTTGTTGCCTTGGGATTTCTGAAAAAGTCTAGCTGCGCCAGCCCTTCCCTTAGTTCTCCACACCCCCTTCCCTTTCCCTGAGACCCCGCCTTTTCTCCCAGGCCAAACCACAAAAGGCCGTGCTGTTCCAGCCCCAGCTTGGTGCCCCGCCCCCTGCTCGAAAGTCGCAGTGCTGGAGGGAAAGGAGGTGGGCCCAGACCGGGCCGGAGTTGGGGGGAGTGTAAGCCTCATCCTTCCGCTCTCCGGCCAATGGGTGAAGTCCTTCTGAGCCAGAAGGTGTCCGGGGAGTAGACACAGTCCAAGTATATTTCCCTTTTTCTGCCACGTCCCAACCATTGACGTGAGCCCACCCCTCGGGTTCCGATTGGATAGGTGGATTCCCCCCCCCCCCGCAAAGGTCCTTTGAGTCTATTGGTCGGTGTTGCTCGGGGGCGGGGCTTGCGTGTCCTCCTCCTTCGCCTCTACCGCGGCGCTAGGGGCGGGACGCGCCGCCGCCGCCGCCTCTGCTTCCGCCGCCGCCGCCGCCGCCTGCCGCTGCGCGTTCCGCGGGGGAGGAGTCGGAGGCGGAGAAGAAGGCGGTGGTGGCGGGTGGAGGATCGAGCGCTGTTCTCGCTCCGGAGCCGCTGCACAGTTCGGTGAGGGGATTTTTTTTTTTTTTTTTAATCTAGCTTGTTCTGATGTCAGGAATGTGAGGGTCGGGGCGAGGAGATTGCTGCCTTCACCCCCTCCATTTCTTAATTTCTGTCCTCGAGAAGGAGCAGGGCCTGTCCCTGCCCGCTGCGCCGGCCATGGTGGGTGGGGTTGATGGCTGTAAGAGGCCTTCTTCGCCTTCTGGGCCCGGTCCAACCCGGACCTGAGGCCGCGCTCGAGTCCGTGGCCGCCGCGCCCGCTTCCCCCAGCGAATGGCATCGATAGATCTGGGGGTCTCCATCGGCCGCTCTTCCCTGCTGCCTCTTCTGCTGTCCTTGGTGCCTTGGCCAAGGACCCCGCTATCTTTCTCCCGACACTGGCGGCTGTATGAGTGTGACCCCACCAAAACCTCACAGCCGCCTTCTCTGCCCATTTCCAGTCATCCCGCATAGAGCTGATCCATCTTACGCCACAGGCCTGCAGCCCCCCTCCCTCTCGAAATCTTCCGTTGCGGTCGCTCTCCTGGCTGTATTTGCATTTTTCCCGATTGTCACCGAGCCTTGGGCACGCAGACACCCTCTACAAACCATAGCAATCGCTCTTCTCCCGATATTAGCACCATTCCATCAATGCTTCTGCCGGTTAGCGATGTCAGGTCAGAGCACTCCTCTAGTAGAGCCACCTTCAGTTTGGGCCTCCCTGAGATTACTGCTTGTTAATCATTTTGCGCACCTTCAAAATGGTGAGTTTTAAAGTCGCCCAGACCAAGTTGAAGAAAAAGGGAGGAGGTAAAATACTCTTTTTGCAAGAGGAAGAATCTGTTTAGGAGACTCCCCTCTCCAGGCGTAAAAATGTTCTGCGTATGCATGGACGCTGCTTTGAGTCTGCTGGTTCTGTGAAGTTCACGTTTAAAAAAAAAAAAAAAAGGCTTACTGTATTATTTTTATCATGACCTATTTGGTCAGTTAAATTTCCTTAAAATGGCAGCCACCTCTGCTGAAGACTACACATCATTTGAAGAGTATGTAAATAAATATGAAGATAAATAAACGTTTTAACTATTTTTTTAGTTTTTTGTCTCCTAGAATTCATGTCATTTTTATATGAAATAAGTTTAAGTTTTGAAAATTAACCACAGACATGCAAGCTTGATGTAAAACTTAACAATATAGAAAAAGGACTATTAGGTAAAATGTGAACATTTCTCATTCTCCAGTCCTACTCCAGTGTCTAAAGTTAACCATTTACTGTGCATCTTTATAAATGTGTTTTTAAACACACATACGTACATGCGAAGTTGGGTTTTGGGGGGGGCAGAGAGGAATACCAAACACATTGGTATATCACTTGTTTCTTTCTCTTGTTTATATGTCTTGCACATCTTTATTTGTTATACATAGATCTCTCTGATGCTTTATAAAGGTTAAGTAGGATTTCATGAGTTTGAATGAGCTATAATTTAATCTTCTAGTGAAAGACATTTAGGTTTTTTTTGCTATCACAAATAATGCTTTATTTGAAGCCAACTTTTTAATTTGATTAGTTTTTAATTACAAACCTTAAATCTTAAAAAATTAAAAAAAAACATTTTGGAGGAATGTAAGGTAAAAAGTGAAGCTCCCACTTCCCCTTCTAATTCTACCTTTATTTTTAAAGTGAATTGTTAGGGAAACTTCTTTTGATTATTTTTGGAGCGTGGATTCCTACAAATGGAATTGCTGGGTTAAATGGTATGCATATTTTAAATTTTGATAACCATTTCTTCCTCTTTTTAGAATTATTCTTGACTGTTTCTTATGCATTTCTTCTCCAGATAAACTTTAGACTCAGCTTAAAAGTTTGGGGCACCTGAGTGGCTCAGTTGGTTGAGGGATTTCCTTCAGCTCAGGTCATGGTTCCAGCGTCCTGGGATCCAGCCCCGCATTGGGCTCCCCGCTTGGCGGGAAGCCTGCTTCTCCCTCTCTCACTCCCCCTGCTTGTGTTCCCTCTCTCTCTCTCTCTCTCTCTGTCAATTAAATAAATAAATAAATAGGATCTTAAAAAAAAAAATCCTTAGGTTTTTTTGAATGATGTTATATTGAAATTTTAGATTAATTTGGGGCAAACTAACCTTTATGATATTGAGTTTTTCCCCTCATTTCTGTATGCATGTATGGTATGTCTTTCCCTTTTATTCACATCTTGCTTTATATTCTTAGGCAAAGTTTTATGGTTGTTGTTTTTTTTTCCTCCCCCATATGTATGGCATTCCTTACTAGTATTCCTAGCTATCTTATGATTTGATTTGCTCTGGTGGATGGAAACTTTCAGTAACATTTTCTCTCTCTCTTTCTGGTTATAGGAAAACTTTTGTGTTTTTTCTGTTTATCATGTATCAAATCACTTGAGCTGGTGATTATCTGAAAGTATTCAAGCTTTCTGGCTTTCTTTTCATTTTTTATAACTTACGTGTTTTCCTCATTGCTTTGGCTGGTATACTAAATATATAATTTGGAATAGCAGGGATAGCTACAAATGTGTTGTTTCTGACTTTGAGGGAATGCTTCTGATGTTTTAGCATCAGTTATGATGTTTGCTGAAACTTTCTGATAAATGGAGAATATTGTTAAAATATTTTCTCTTCTTGGCTTTCTAAGATGATTTTTTGTTCTTTTATTTCTGATGACATTTTTAAAAACCATAAGTGGGTATTGAATTTTATTGATGTTTTTGACTTTTTAGTGGTTATATAAAGGCATCACCAATATTCCCTGGTTAATATTTTCCCAAGAGAGCTCCATTTTAAAGAATCAACTTTATTGAGGATAATTTACATACAACAAAATGTGTGTATTTAAAATACACAATTAAGTATGATTTGACAAATACGTACATCCCTGTCACCACCACCACATTCAAGAGTAGAATGTTTTCATTATCACAGTCAAGATATAGAATATATCTGTCATTCCCAAAAGTTCCCTTTTGCCCTGTACAGTGACATTTATACCATTCCATTGTCCTCTCCTTCTCACTATAAATTGGTTTCATTTGTTCTAGAATTTCATATAAATGTAATTACATAATAAGTACTCTTTTGCACTTAGCTTTTTTCTCTCAGCATGATGTCTTTGACAATCATACATGCTTTTGTGTGTTTAACTGATTCATAACTTTTTGTTGTTGAGTAGTAGTCCACGGTATTGATTTACCACTATTTGCTGACCATTTCACCTATTTATAGATATATGGATTGTTTCCAGTTTGGGGCTGTTATTGATAAAGCTGCTATGAACATTCATTCATAAGTTTTGTGTGAAACACAGATTTTTGTTCTCTTGGGTAAATACCTAGAAATGGATTTGTTGCATTGTATGGTAAATGAATGTTTAAATATAAAAACCTGCCACACTGTTTCCTGTTTTACAGTTCCAGTTGCTCTATGCCCTCATCAACACTTGGTTATTTCAGTCTTTTTAATTTTAGCCTTTCTAGTGAGTATGTGGTAGTATCATACTTTAATTTTAATTTGCATTTATCTGATGATTAAGGACACTGAAAATTTTCTGTTGGTCATTTGTGTGTATTCCTTTGTGAAGTATCTGTTCAAATCTTTTGCCCATTTTTAAACATTAGGTTGTTTGTCTCATTGAGTTGTAAGAATACTTTATTTTTGCGTAAGTCCTTTGACCCACACAGACACATACGTACACAGTGCAGTCTGAGGCTTACCTTTTTATTTTTCCAAACTTTTCAAAATAGAGGAGCTTTTAATTTTGATTAAATTCAGGGGCGCCTGGGTGGCACAGCCCCTTAAGCGTCTAGCTCTTGGTTTCAGCTCAGGTTGAGATCTTGTGGTCAGGCGATCCAGCCCCTCATTGAGCTCTGCGCTCAGCCAGGAGTCTTGCTGGAGAATCTCTCTCTCCCAATTCCTCCCCTGCTCCAATTTGTGCTCCTCTTTCTTTCTCTCTCTCAAATAAATAAATAAATCTTTAAAAAAAATAAATTCAGGGGCTCCTGGGTGGCTCAGTTGCTGGGTGTCTGCCATCGACCCGGGTCATCATCTCAGGGTCCTGGAATCGAGTCCCACAGTGGGCTCCCTGCCCAGCGGGGAGCCTGCTGCTTCCTCGCCCACTCACCCTGCTTGTGTTCCCTCTCTCGCTGTCTCTCTGTCAAATAAGTAAATTAAAAATAAAATAAAATAATTTAAAAAATTAAAAAAATAAATTCAGTTCATCAGTTTTCCTTTTATGATTTGTGTTTGTGTTCTGAGTTTGCTCAATGCAAAGTTATGGAGATCTCCTCTTACCTCTTCTTCCACAGGTTTTATAGTTTTGGCTTTTATGACAAGGTGTATCATGCATTTTGAGTTAATTTTAGTATGTGGTGTGAGAAGAACTAAGGCTCATTTTCTCAGTTGTAGCACCATTTGTTAGGAACACTTTTCCTTTCCTTACTGAATTAACATAGTAAAAAATCAGTTGACCATATACATATGAGTCTATTTCTGGACTAACCCCTTGATCTTTATACATATCATTTTGCCAATACCACATTGTCATGATTATTTTGTTGCTTTATAGTAAGTCTTGAAATCAGGTAGTGCAAGTAGTCCAGCTTTACTCTTTTTTTTTTTTTTTGGAGTATTTACTTTTTTGTTGTTTTGAAGTTTTTATTTGAATTCCAGTTAGTTAACTTACAGTGTAATAATTACTTCCAGGTATACGATATAGTGATTCAACACTTACATACATCACCTGGTGCTCATCACAAGTGCACTCCTTAATCCCCATCACCTGTTTAACCCGTCCCCCCTCCCCACCTCCTTTCTGATAACCATCAGTTTGTTGTCTATATTTAATGGTCTGTTTCTTGGTTTGCCTCTCTTTTTTTTGGTCCCTTTACTTGTTTGTTTTGTTTCTTAAATTCTACATATGAGTGAAATCATGTGGTATTTGTCTTTCTCTGACTATTTTTCAAAATCATTGTGGCTATTCTAGTTTCTTTGCTTTTCCATAAAATTTTT